TTAAAATAGAGATATATGCTCGTATTTATAGAATTTGAGCCAACTAGGTCACAAATATCTTAAAAAATAGACAGCTGGCGGATTCCCGCCCCAGAATAGTGTTTCTCACCCAAAAGGCATGGCCGACCCCAAATGGCCATGGTTGCGCCCAAATGAGGCACGACCGGACCCCAATGTGGCTCCCCTATTCCTCTAGTTCAGGCTTAGTGTATGTTGGCATGATGCTATGTAACGACCCAATCTTGGCAAGGCAAAACCCCGCCAAGAGGGTGCACCTCAAACGCTATAGCACCTTTACACCACAATTCCTGTATAATTCTTACATCACATCACCACATCACCAAAAGTGCATAAGACCTTTCAGTTGCCCAACATATATGAGATGATCTATTCAAAGACAAAAAGTATTATCATGCTACAAGATAGTTCCCAAGCATTTCCTCCCCCAAAAAATAATACATACTAATCACGAATCCATCAATACATCCAACTTTATAAGCAATCTTTACAATCAACCTCCTTCATAAAAAAAATAAAAGGTAAACTTACATCCTAGAATGACCCTAAGCAAAACCTCAACTACAAGATGCCCACCTTTGATCCTTCAAAAAAATTTCTAGTCTTCCGAGTTGAGGCGAGCCACACAAAAGTCTATGAATCTGAAAAAAAAAAATTATTTAAAAGAATGAGCTAAAGCCCAATGAGTATACCAATACCATGGAGTTATAAAACTTGCTCCTTCCAATTGGGTTCAAAATAAAGATAATAAACATAAGAGCTTAATTGGACTGAAATTTATACAAAATGAAAATAAAAATAATGAAAGTAAACAAAAATACAACTTTTCAATACGTTAAGATTTCATGTCCATCATACGAACCACTACATAGCCTTAGGATCGCGTTACCTCGCGACTTAGGTGGTGACGGTACCGTTACCCAAAACATAACCATAGGAACATAACTCATGTCAACGTAGCACTTCAATTCTCATTTCAATGTTTCGGTCCCCGGGACCCCTTATATATACAACGACCCTTATGGTGCTTAAAACATTTCGGTCCCCAGGACCCCAAAGCATTTTGGCCCTTGTGGCCCCAAAGGCTATACTTGGTTATATGATCAAAACAAAAAAAATATCCTTGTACAACGTTTCATTGTCATTCAATCATCATCATCACAAAATCTGAAGGACTCAACTTAAATAAATTCTCATAAAAAAATTAGTGTTTCATTATACAAATGAAATCATATATTTATTTAAACTCAACGATTAGCCTCAATAGATTTATAGATTTATAAATTTTTCTTTTTATACATATACCATGATGAAATGTATCATTCACTTCCTTTAATTCAAAATTATCTTCAAACTTTATAATAAAGATAGAGGTAAGGTAATTTCCATGGTAAGTATACTTACCTCCAAAAATAGCAAAAGCGTAGATTGAGACTCTACAAATTAATTCCCAAGAGGTGTAGAGACGCCTTCCTCCAATCCTAACAATTAATAAATAGGACCTAAAATTAGGAAAAAGCTTTCAATGAAAATTATAACATCTACAAAAATGATCCTAAATAAAATTATGCTAAGGAATGACAAGCTAAAGAACTCCTCCAACTTCAAGTCATCCAAACAAATAACTTATCCAATCTCCACAACACCCATCCTTTGTACATCTTTGAGTTAGTAACTTTTTAAATAGCCAAATCAATTTATATGCACAATACCACCATCAATTAACTACAAAAATCAAAATCAACATTTTTTATAAACTCAACAACTTAAGTAAAATCTCTTCAATCATTTATAAAATTCCTCCATAGAACATAGAGATACCCAATCTACCATTTATCAAATCAATTTCAACATATAAATTTCCTAACACCAAAATCCCCAATTTTTACATCACATTCAAACCCTAGATTAACCCAAATCTTAATCTCCAAAACAACCATCAAATTGATCATTTTTTAACATGTAAAACATTCATAGAAACTAATTGAGAGTATAAAATTCAACAATCAAACCCCAAATCATAATAGATCTAAAATACAAAAATTTCATCATCTCTAACTCAAAATATGTAAAACCTTAAACTAAACTTTGTTGGTTTGGAGTGTGGTGGGAACTAAAGGTCTGTTCTTGGTTCGGTCCTTTTATCGGAGTTCGGTGGGGGTAGTGGGTGGTGCATTTCCTTGGAGGAGTATTTGGGTGCCTCGAGTTCCTTCTAAGGTGGTTTTCTTTTTATGGACGGCTGCTTTGGGCCACAATCTTACTATTGATAATCTAGTTTGTCGAGGGCATGTGTTACTGAATCAGTGTTGTACGTGTTGTTGAATCGGTGTTGTATGTGTTGTGTAGATGCGAAGACCGTTGACCACTTATTTCTCCATTGTTCTCTTGCTTCTCGACTTTGGGGGCTAGCTTGTTCTCTTTTTGGGTTTACATGGGTGCAGCCAAAGGGGGTTGTGGACATGTTGTGGAGTTGGAGGGGGGCCCGAGTTGGGAGGCATCGGCGACGGGTGTGGTCGTTGGTGCCTTTTTGTTTAATGTGGTTGGTCTAGCTGGAAAGAAATAGGAGAATTTTCCAAGGACTTGAGCATTCAGTGTCGTGTTGGAGGATCGGTTCTTAGTTACTTTGTATAGTTGGTTGGAATGTAAAGTGAATCCGGATATATTTTATTTCTTAGATTTTTTAGATGATGTAATTGGTTAGGCGAGTTTTGTTTTCTTCTTTTTTGTTGTCTTGGTTTTGTTGCATCTTCTTGATGCTTTCTTAATAAAATTTGTTATTTATCAAAAAAACATAAAAATAAATTGATTGCTCATAGCACCAAAAAAAAAAAATCGCAAACAGAGGATAGATTTTTTATTATTTGATTTTTGGATTTGATGATGTTTTTCTATATCAAAGATCTAATTTTGTTCATAGCCTAGTTTAATAACATGATTGCTCATTGCCAAAAAAAAAAAAAAAATCACAAATAGAGGGCAGATTTTTTGTTATTTGATTTCTGGATTTGATGATGTTTTATTATATCAAAGATCTAATTTTGTTCATAGCCTAGTTTAATAAACTAATTGCTCATAGACAAAAAAATCGCAAAGTGTAAAAAATTTGTATTAGACAATCAATAAGCTTGGGAAAAAATCTGTTGGCATGATAAGCCCATTTTGTTTTAATAATCTTCATTCTTACTCCAATAATCTTTAAGACATAAACTCATCAATACAATAGGGAAAATCATATGATCTTCCTTCAAATAAACAATCATGAGAACCACCCCTATATGCCTCCATCTGTATATTTTTTTCTGCTACATTTTTTTGTTTAAACTCTACATTTTATACTTAGCATATTTTATTTTTTTTTGTGAATGTTCATGGGTGTTCGGGTGTTTGCTATTGTGTGAGAGATACTGAATGCGATAACAGAAGGCATCACTGCGGTTAAGGTGTTCATCAATTTGTTTGGTTATTGTTGTTGTTATTGTGTCTTTTGTCATTTGGTGTACAGTGATTGATGAATATTAAAGTAAGGCTCTGTTTGCTTCTTTGGAGAAGATTAAGGAAGATGGGAGAGTGTTTCAATATGCTAAGTATAAAATAATAGGATTTCTTTTTTGGTCGCCTCTCCTCTTCAAAATGAGTGCTACTATTTTTATTTTTTTAATAATTTTTATTTTTATGTCCACTTTTTTTAATAAAGGGGAAGGTTGGTAGCAAGTTGGAATCGGATGATGGGTAACTGTTGGGTGCTTTATAATATGGTAGAAGTGAAACAGCTTAAGATAATAGAAAATATTACAAGCATAAAAAAATTTTTGGGTGCCTTTGCTACTTCAAATTCTTATCTTTTTTATTATTATTTATTTTCAAATGTTTGTTTTTTTCCCGGCAAGGCCAGTCTAGTACTTTGTGGGGCTATGGTCAATATTTTAAATGGGGCTTTCTATTATATGGGAAGTTGTGAATTTACCGCTCAATGGAAGGTGGTTAAGGTTGATAGATGTGTAAATGTATATTAAAATAGAAGAAATTATAGTTTTTCATTGCTTATTTAGATTGAACAAGCTTTTATTCAATATAATTTAGTAGTTTCTGGATAGCCATATGCAGGAAATTAATATAAAAACATTTTTATTGTATAGACTTTGAGAATAAGTTTAAAGACTAACATATCACACATTTTCAAATTACAATATAAGTAATGATATATAAATAGATATTTTATAGAAAAATTTAATATGTGAAAATTAAACAAAGTACTTTAAAATTGTAATTAAATATAGGCTTGAAGTTTTAAAGTGAACTATAACTGGACAACTCAACCCTTGGGCCTCTCTCCGTTGGATTTTCCCTTAATCCACCTCTTGATCTTTACACTGTAATGTAGCATAGTTTATATATGGTTCTTTCTAATGTAGTAAATTTTCGTATTCCTAACTAATATAATTACAACTTTTATTATTTATTTAGACTATTTTTGTATTCAGTTTGGTGTTAAAATGTCCTTCAATTTGGTAATATAATTTCAATGGGTTTAACTCAATTCCTATGTTTGATCAGTCTATTATATATTTATTTTTATTTTGTATTGGCAAAGAAAATTTGAGAGTTACATTGAAAATTAGAGCAAAGTTAGAGAGATCAGTTGAAAATCTATGGCTTCACTACTAGAAAAAGGGGCATTCGACACGGAACAATTTGCGATGGTTTAAGTGCTGTCGCAAAAGCTTGATTTTTGCGACGGTTTAAGTGTCGTCACGGAATTTATAGTTTTTGCGACGGAAAAAGTTAGACCGTGGCAAAAAGCAAGGTTATATGCGACGGTAAGTTAAATGTGGCAAAATGTTTCTGGTTTAAAATTTTTTTTTTCCTTTTCGCGATGCTCTTTTGGCAATCCATCGCAAAATTTTACTTTTTTCTCTTTCATTTGTGATGGGCCATAATATCGTCGCAAATAGTAATTCCTAAATTCACGCCAAAACCCCCTCCTACTCTCCCTCTTTCCCGATATTCACAAATTCTCTGTTATCTCTGGAGATCAAAAAAAAAAAAGCCCTAATCTCACTGCTCTCTCCCTCCCTCTCACCCAGTCCTCACTCTATCTCTCTTGCAGCGGCAACAGCAGCGTATAGGTAACCCTCTTCTTTCCTCTCGCTGTTGCTCACGCATACCTTCTTTATCACCCAGTCGTCGTTCTGTCTCTCTTGCAGCGGCAACAACAACGTCTGTAACAGTGGCAACAACAGCGTTTGCAGCATCGTCTCTCTTCCAGTGGCAACAACAACGTCTCTCTGGTTCTCCCTCCGGCATCCAAGTATAGCCTTCCTTTGCTTTCCTCTACTCTCCTCTGCCCTTCTATCGCTTGTTTCTCCCTGCTCATGAATTCATTGAAACTCTTTTGATTAAGAATAAAACAGTTCAAGAATTTGTGTTGGTGTGTGTGTTTGATTTGTGTGAAAATTGATTTTGTGTTTGTGTTTGATTTGTGCAAAAATTGATTTTGTTTTGGTGTGTGTATAATATAATGATTTTTTTACTCAGCATAGAGTCTCCATCCCAAGCACTACGCTCTGGGAAATTATGTTGTCAAGGAATGCAAAACGGGGTCATGCTATGGAATTTTATTTAAATCATTCATTCACTAATCTAAAAGAACGGTAAAAAATATCATTAAATTTAAATTAGTTCCTCCTTCACTTACAGTTGCCTTTGGACACATCAACCTATACCCGTACCTTTATCATGGTGTGCCCGTCAGAGTTACTTAAAATTTGTTGAAGTATGTGTCTCACATAAGTTGTATTTCTGATTGTTCATTGGGGTAGCTAGCAAATAAATATTTTCAAGACTTCATTCTTACTTTACATATTGTTCGCGCATTCAATCCGGCATTATTTTCCATGTTGTGTTGCTTATTGCAACCAACCTTTTGTTTTTCTTTTATGATAATCCCTTCCTTTCTTCCTTGTAATAATTTTGTAATGCCAATTATTTGCTGGAGCAATATCAGTAGCCATCCCTTTGTGTGTGTGTGCGCCTCTCTCATACCCTAAGAATAACAAGAAATTTCATGAAGAGTTTTAAATTTTGTTTTAATACAAATGTTTTAAAACATGATTTTCATGGATACTACTTGTGGTTTTAATCTTATTGGATCTTGTTTTGCAATCTCGTTTGAAGGTCCCAATGGTAGCGGCAAAAGCTCACTTTTCCGAGTTTTAGGAGGACTTTGACCACTGGTGTCTAGCCATATTATGAAACCTGGATTTCGTTATGATCTTAATAAGGAGATTTTCTATATGCCACAATGACCATATACAGCAGTAGGAACTCTTCGCGACCAGTTAATCAATCCCCTTACTGCAGATCAAGAGGCTGAGCCACTGACACACAGTGAAATGGTTGAATTGTTGAAAAATATAAGAAATTTAGCCATGTCATTTTCATTTAGTCTCTCTTGCCATGGTACTCAGTCATCTCTTGACTCTTAAAGAAGTCATAAATTCAACTTGGATTGACTTTTAGTGGAAAATTTTTGTCATTTTACTAGATTGATCTTGAGTACTTATTAGATCGTTACTCGTCTGAAATAGAGATAAATTGGGGTGATGAACTATCTTTGGGAGAACAACAAAGATTGGGAATGGCCAGACTCTTTTACCATAAGCCCAAATTTGCTATTCTTGATGAATGCACCAGTGCCGTGACAACTGAGATGGAGGAGCGCTTCTGTGCCAAGGTCAGAGCAATGGAACCATCTTGCATCACCATATCCCCTCGCCCTGTACTGGTGGCATCTCATGATGTGGTTCTGTCCTTGGATGGTGAAGGAGGCTGGCAAGTTTATTACAAGAGGTTAGATTTTTGGGTTGGTGATTCAAATTGTCTACGTTTATTCACTGTATGAACTGCTAATATTTGTTTTTATAACACTGTTTTGGAATCTTCAGGGAGGACTCTGCAGTTCTTGGTGAAGCTGGGGTCAATATGATGAAACCTTCGAAACAGAACACCAAAGTGATGCTATGGCAGTTCAACGTGCATTTGCCAGTGCAAAAAAGGTATTGCGCATAAGAAGGGGCTAAAAAATCACACGTTCTTTTATTATGGAATTGCTTTTTTCTTTTCTTTTTATTTTATTTTATTTTATTGAATCTAACTTTGAATTTTCAAATTTTGGTTGTTACCTTATATCTAGGATTCTTCAATCTCAAATTGAAAGTCACAATCATATGTTTTGAAGCTAATAGCAGCATCCCCCCTCCTATGAATCACGATGTTCCATTGCCCCTAGTTCCACAACTCCAAACTGCTCCAAGGTTATTGTCGTTGAGAGTAGCTGCCATGTTTAAAATCCTGGTAAGTGCCTTTAGCTGCAAGAACACATCTCTCTCTCTCTCTCTCTCTCTCTCTCTCTCTCTCTCTACTGTAATATTTTTTAAAGTTCTCGTCTAGACTTTATGCAATGATTTATTAGCCCCAGACCTTGCATTCACCCTCACCTTCCATAAATGTTCAAGGTACTTGTGTTCATATGCATTCTGCTTAAAAGTTGAATGTTTTGCGGTGATGCTTGTTGGTGTCAGTTTTGGATTTGTGATTCGAGAGCTGCGACCTCAAAAGCATTGATTCCACTATGCTTTCTTGGCCTAATACATGCCACAGCTGTTGCTTGTTTGCCTCTGGATGTCTCTCTGTTGTCCCCATAGGAATGCTACATTTTACTGGTGATTTTCAAATTTATGAGATCTTGTGGTTGTCTCACGTCATTGATAGAAGGCATTAGACTGCCCTGGGAACCTGAGATTAGTTGATAAAGCACTGCGAGCATAATTGTAGGGTTAGTAATGCATACAACATGGTAGATGGTGATAATTTATATAATTGATGTTGGTAATGATGCTGGCTGGTATGAGGTTGACTAAGAATTTGTAAAAGATCCTTTAGTTACTGGTCATTATAAGCCACTGATTGCTGATCAATATGAGTGTTCCATTTTTTACCTTTCTAATATAATTAAATCTAATAATGTTTCTTATTCAATTAAGTGGAGGCTTTTGTTTTTCAATTAAGTTAATTTAGTTACCTTTGTTTCTTATGCTAGGCTGAACTAGTGAGGAGTTAAAAACATATCATAGCACTTGAAAAAACCAAACAGGGTTCAGCTATCTGTAATTTTATTTTATTCTTTTCCAGCTTGATTTCTTAGCAACATAAGAATGATTTGTTGCTTTCTGGGAATTATGAACCAAGTACTGCATTGTTTGACTAGTACTCGATCTGTGCCATCTTGTTATGGTAGGCACAAGAAAAATCCGAAAGATGCTGATTTCTCTCTCTCTCTCTCTCTCTCGCCTTCCCTCCTCCTTCATTCCTTGTTGCATATAAAATATTGAGTTCCTTGAAAATAGTTTTTAGCATATGAAACATTTTCTTGTTCAAAAATACCCAAGGGCAAGTAGTGTATCTCAGAATTGAAGAAACAGATTCTGTACTTAGAATCTCTTTTCTAAGTTGTTTTAGTCAATGTTCTGCCTTCTTTGTTGTTCCTGTAGCACACTTTGGTTGGCTTGTCATCATCTTATTTTTTTGAGCTTCAGGGGTGAGTGGCCAACTCCAACTTGTTGATGTGTGACTAAACAATTCCATATATATATATATATATATCTTGACATTTATCTTTACGTTCTTCTCAAAGTTCTTGTTCCTTCTTGTTGCCATAGGAACATCTGAAGTATTTCCATTTTGTATTGAACTGTAAAGAGATAAGGATTAAAATCAAAATTCAAATTATTTCTCAAAACAAAGTTGTGTCCATCTAAGCATGCTGTAAAATGGTTGAAATATGACAGTTCTGAAAATTTTTGTTTGTCTTATCATCTAAGATAGAGGACATTAAAAGGCTATATTCATTTATCCAAATAATAAAAAGGGAGTAGCCTGTTGGGGAAATTGAAAGCTAACAATGCAACAAAATATTTTAGTCAGTATAGCTTCACTTATTAATATACTTCACTACTCTGAAAAAAAGGGGCGGGGGGGACTTTGCTGTTCTTTATTTGAATTTATAAATATTTCATTGTTTCCATTACTTATCTGAAATGTTGACATATCTGAGCGAAATGAAAACTGCACTCTTACACAAAGTTTTAATCTTTGCTTACTGGTAGTTCTTAGGTACCCACAGTGCTTGATGAGCAGGGAGCATAACTCCTTGCAATTGCTGTACTTGTGATTTCGAGAACTTGGATATCAGATTGCATTGTCTCTTTAAATAGTATTCTTTTTTTTATTATTATTTTCCTAAATTAATTAAACTTTATGATGTTCTTGGAAATTGAGAAGCTTTTGTGATTTAAATGCGTTGGTTTTTTCAGGGACAATTGTAAAATATGTTTTAGAGCAAGATAAGGCGGCCTTCACTCGGTTGATTGGTGTTAGTATTCTTCAGAGTGCTGCATCTTCTTTCGTTGCACCTTCTTTGAGGTAAACTATACATTGAACGTTTTCTTAATTTCCAACCAAATTACATCATTTAATACCCACAAAAATGAAGTACAAAAACCTTCTAAAGACTCCATGAGAATTCCTATATTACTAAAGACGTTTTGCTAATGGGAACTCGTTATTTGCTACTTTTCAACTAAAACTTGTGATTGCATCATTGCATGGCATCAGCTTGAGTCTTTTTTAGTCTTGAGAATGTGAATGAATTGTAAGGGCATGTTCAGATCTGTTATGGAAAACTTTTTTATTTTTAATGGGTTTAGTTATTGAATTGGCTTATGTAATAGATTGTTTTTAAGAACACTCTGATCATCTAACATTAATGAACAAACTGGAGCTGAAGATCATTACTGATCTTAAGTTTTTTGTCACATAACGCAGGACTTCATCTCAATGCCAATTGTTTAATATTTAATTTATTATTTCTTGCATATGTTACAATTTTATTATCTTAAGTTATTTCTTGTATATGTTACAATCTTATTTATTTATTTATTGAAATAAATATGAAATGTTTTACATTTTCTATAAGCTTGAAAATAATTATGTTGTAAATGATGATTTTTTTTTTTTTTCTTTTTTGTTTCTTTTTGCAGATGCAAACCTTTTGAGTACGTGATATCTTCGCATATCGATATGGGAGCTTGCTATTGATATCAAAACAAGCTACACTATATCTGTTTTTATTTTTTTATTTTTTTATTTCTATTGTCAATACTAAAAATTTGAGTTCTTGAATTTCAAAAATTATTAGTATTGTTAGAGGTTATTTTATATATTTTTGTAAAGAATATTTCATTGACAATTGTTATAAGGTACATATATTATTCTTGGTATATGATTTTTTGAATGTGAATTTGGATGTGGGTGTATTTTTAAAAATATTTATAATTTGTATAGGGAATATTTAATAAAATATGATTTTATAAAAAATAATTTTATTGCGACAATAATAAACTGTCGCTGATGTAATTCTCATTTCCTTATATTTTATTAGCGACGAGTTAACCTGTCGCATATACATATTAGTTCCAATCTTTTGCGACGGTTTAAACTGTTGCCAATACGGTATTAACTTAATACTACTTTTTTGGTGACGTTTTAGACCGTCGCTAATAATACTTTTTGCGACGGCAAATACCATCGCTAGAAAAGGTTTTTTGTGAGTGCAATCAACATCGTCACTAAAAATGCCATTTTTCCCCATTTTTTTGTGCCAGGCGAAACCGTTGCAAAAACTATTGATTAGCCGTCGCTACAAGAAAGCGACAGTTTGTAACCGTCGCAAATACTTTTTGTAAGGCCCTTTTCGCCACCCCCCATTTTCCGTCGTTGCTCTGTCACAAAAAGTCTTTTGCGACGATATATGGACCTTTTGCGACGTTTGAGACTGTCGCAAAAAGTCCGATTTTTAGTAGTGCTTCTTCATAGATTGTTCTCTCCCTCTCTGACATTGTATACATGTGAATTTCCATGTTTGTAGATGTCACTACTTGGGTTAAGGTTTGCATGTCCTATTGGGTTGAAGCAACTAAAAACATATTAGTAGTTTGTGTTAATGACTTGCTATTTAATATTCATCAAGAAATTAATTTATTTTATGTTAAAATGGGGATAGAGAAATCAATTTATTAATTTTTCATTTTGAAGCAGGTGCACCATGAGGTTGAAAGCACTCGATGAAAGATCAAGCTCTATGATTATATTGTAGATGGGTGGTCATTCTCTTCTCTTAAGTAGGTAATTTTAAGATTTTAGTTTATACACTTAGATTAATGAATTTTATAGCTTGTTTGGCTTGAGGCTTGGGTAACCTTGTTTGTTGTGTGCTTGTTTATAGCTTGTTTGGCTTGATGAAGTGTGAGTTGAATGAATTAATTTCGTCCTAAAGAATATGAGTAGAAATCCAACATGTAAGTATGATATAACTTTTGTTCTTTAAATTGCTAATAAACAATTTCTTTAGTTGGTGAGGAATACATAATCTTTTCAAGAATTCATTTTGGATTTGTTGATTCTATGTATATTTGGTTTTATGACATTAAAATATCTGGCCATGCATTTAAGATTTTCATTTTAGATTTATTGATTCTATGTATATATCATATCTATATGGTAATCCAAACATTTAATATAGTAACAATACCAATGGTTATTCATTTTCTATTGATATAGGAGATAAAGAATCAATGTGATGAGAAAATGTCCGACTTTATCTTTTGTAAGACTAGAACAATCTCTACAAATAGTAGTTTATTCATTTGCTTCTAGCGGTTTCTGAATTAATTTGTGTTTTCATTTTTCAGGTTAGAAATTTCTTGGAGATATACAAAATGTGGTCAAAGAATTCAAGAACTAAGGCTCTGTTTAGTAGAGCTCTCCAACATATTTCTACCCCCACTTTTAAGTGTCTTGTTTGTTTATAGTTTTCAAAAGTTAATTCGATACCCTCTTTTGAAAATTCTTTCCAATGCATGAAAATTTGGGCTAACCGGACATCCTCCCGGACATCTGGTTGGTTGACCGAAACAATGCTATTTTTTGTTTATTATTATTTTTTTTACAATTGACACCCGTTATTTTTTATATTTTAAATAAAAAATAATTTAGAATTTTTTTAAATTTTTTATGAGCTTTGAATAGAATTTTAAGTTGTGTGTTTGGTTATGAGTTATAAGCTTTTGTATCAAATATCATATGTCACATCAAAAATTTCCCACTCAATTCAAAACTATTTTCAAAACTCATTTACCAAACAAATTTTCCACACTCAAATCATAATTCCTAAACTCACGAACTCAAAATACAACTCTATTCTCAAATCATATTTAGAAAACTCTACCAAATGCTACATAAGTTTTTCAAGTTTTTTCATTTTTTAATATATGTAAGCACAGTTTAAAACTTTTTATTTAATTCCTTTATATATACTTTTGAACATATTTAACTTTCATTTATGAAATATGTAACGTTATTCCATTCAATATGTGGTTGTGATTCAGAGTATAGTATATAGTGTGTATTACATTCTTCAAATGCCCGTACAAAAATAATATTGATTATTTTTCAAATATGTCGAACCCTTTTTTTTTTTATCACATGCATTAACTGTGATGAGAAATGCATATAACGTGTGATCTTATCTTATTATTAATCACATGTTTTATTATATATTAATTACACTTAAAATCTGTGATCTAAATGTTTATTATCACAGGTTTTAAATGTTATTAATCACATTTAAAAGATGTGATCTAAATGTTTATTATCACAGTTTTTATTAGTTATTAATCACACTTAAAACGTGTGATTAAAAATAACCCTTTTTAATCACACTCTCAAAGATCACACTTTGACAAAACTTAAAGAGTGTGATTAAATAACATAAATCACACAAAAAAAGTGTGATCTTTATCTGTTTTTGTAGTAGTGGAGGGATGATTAGGTATAATGGAGGATGAGTGGGTGCACTTGAATGGATCAGAAAATAGGCAAATAGGGTGTCCCAACCGAACCAAAACCAAGAAAAACAAGGCTGCTACTGTTTTGGGCCAAGTCAACAAAATCTGTTATTAAGCCCAACTTCAAATGGGCATATCTCCCTTATCCGGACTTGGTTTTAGGTGATTCTTGGATCTAAATTGAAGCCCTAGAAGTCTACTTTCCAATGGTGGTGGCCTCATATTTAAATTCCAAGTGTACAAAGAGTTATGCCTAATTTAGTGAAAGTTGTTCATTTTCCTTGGGCCAGGTCAACAAAATCTACTCTTAAACCCAACTTCAAATGGGTATATCTCCTTTATCCGGACTTAGTTTTAGGTGGTTCTTGGGTCTAAATTCAAGCCCCAGAAGTCTACTTTCCAATAGTCATGGCCTCACATTTAAAGTCTAAGTGTACAAAGATATATGCCTAATTTAGTGAAGGTTGTTCATTTCCCTTGGGTCAGCCCTTAAGTCTAACTTCAAATGGGCATATCTCCCTTATCCGGACTTGGTTCCAGGTGGTTCTTAAGTCTAAATTGAAGCCCTAGAAATTTAATTTCTAATGGTGGTGGCCTCACATCTAAATACCAAGTGTACAAAGAGATATGCCTAATTTAGTAAAAGCTGTTCATTTCTTTCTTAATGATTTGATGCTCATTTTTTTCCTCAATTAGTTTTCTTCCATCCCCTCCTGTTTCCTTCAAATCCAAACCTATAAAGAAGATATTTTTAAAATATTTTCAAAGAGTTCACCTTCCTTCCATTTGTTTCCACTTTATCCTTACTCGGTTTACTAAAAAGTGCAATATTTTAATTGAAATGGGAGTTTCGGAATATCGTAAAAACATTTGAGAAAATATTTTGAAAAGAGGGTTTTAAGGTCTAAAATAGTTTGGCAAAAAAAATGTGTAAAGGTTGGGATTAAAATTCAAATTCTATCTCTTTTACTAAGAATATTTTGATTGTCATCATCGGGTAATCAACCGAAAACGCCCAAGTCTTAGGGCTGGTCAAAATGGGGTGTCTATAAGAGTAATTAGAGAGGCAAAACTATATCAGTGGTACAACAGATTTGGACTTGCTCGCTGAAGAAATGAATCAACAAAAATCTGGGAAAGTTGGAGAATGGGCAGTTGGGTAAGGGTAGAGTAAGTGGTTTAAGGAGAAAAGAATGGCAATGCACAAATTGGCAACATCTCCCCAAATCTCCAAAAATCCTTTTATTGGACTTGGGAAATAGGTCCTATTTATAGGATGTTCCTTGGCATCGAAGGATACCAAGTAGCCAAATAAAGTAAGGAAATGTGTCCCTAAGAATCACATGGAATATTCTGCATTGGACCACTAAGCTAAAGGTGCAACGTGTCCCTTTGCATGTACTATGTACTATCTGTTTGGCATAGATGCCTCAGCAAGTGCACTTGCGGTAGAAGCGTTTGTCGCTATAACTTGCCTCCTCAGCTTGAACTTAGCAAGTGCACTTGCGGTGGTAATGTTTGCCACTATGAACATGCATGCAGAGGGACACATTCAAGACATGCATTCTCAGGACTTCATAGCCTGCGATCGACTATGTTCGTGCTTGCCTTAGCGAAGCCTCCACCCTTAGTGTCATCAACGGGGAACGGGAGTCCCCCAGCTAACCCTCCGACGAGCAAGTTAGAAAAGAGACACTAATGGAATGTAGAGCTATATGGATGATAGAGAACTTAACCTTCTTTTTGTCTTAGAAACCTATTTATATCCTTTGTTCATCATTTCCTTGTCCACTCCGACCTATCATGTTAGCTGAAAGGCTATGTTCTATCTTGCCTTGTTCATGGTGAGGCTGTTCTGTTCCGTCATGAAGGGGTTATCGCATTAAATGCTGCAGGGGACCTCATTAATGGTTGATGTGTGGTGCAATAACTCTGCAGGATCTTTGTCTGCTTATGTGGCTGGTTCTTCTCTTGACAATTGTTTAGATGTCATTGGTTCTTGGTGTAACGTTGGGTTCCAATAACATTGGGCTTTAGTGTTTGAATTATGCATTGGGCTCTAAGTGGTGGGCCAAAAGCCCCCGTAGGTCCACCTGTGTCAGTAGTCCCCCATTCCCAAGTACAGCTTCAGTCCAACGAAGGGAATAAGGAAGAGGACGGGGGTTGTGGGTGGTCGAGTAAGAGAAGACTGACTGGAATGAGGGTCGATCGTGAAGGGTGACCGAGTGAGAAGGCCGACTGGGAGGAGGGCCGACCACGAAGGGTGACCAAGTGAGAAGGTCGACCGAGGAAAGGGCCGACTGCGAAGGGTGGCCGAGTGAGAAGGCCGACCGGGAGGAGGGCCGACCACGAAAGGTGACCGAGTG